CTGCTTGGTTTATTTTCATAAAGGAAACCCATCACAAGGTTGCTGAAAACTCTTCGACAGCCCACGATCTGTTTCGCTCAAATTAAGGCTCATCAGTTTGGACGCAGTCCCCGAGTTTCCGTCATCCTTATGTTCTAACCCAACCCAAATCGGACTGTTTTCGAGAAATACACTAATTTGCAAGTCAATTCGGTTTTCACAAGAGACTCAACTGGATCTCTCTGATATTCTAATTCAGTTGGCACGATACTCGAGATTTTGCAGTATATTTTCGTAAAGTAAACTACTATTTTTGATGCAGTAGATCCTAATCAACAAACCGCGATGAACCGAAGTACTGGGTGTGCAATCGAACTCTAGTAGAAGTTTGAATATAACTCGGTTATCTTTTAACTTTACGGTGAAAGGAGAGGCTGCTCGACAATTTCATCAAACAGTACGCAAGCGGTTTACGACAAACTGGTCTAGTATGACTGCCGAGTCTCACTTCAAACGGCAAAAAGAATGCATCTATCAGAAGATAATGCTGGTCACTACAGTGCACGGAAGTACCCATGCGACATGATACGTTTTGTGGTGTGGGCTTGATGCTGTCTTTTAGAATGGTCAGTCGGGTTTGGAACATTTTAGATGTTATACGTGCTGTGATTCCTTATTTTGAAACCTACCTGATTTAGGATTACCATGGTTCTTCCCAGAGAGTGTTGTTGGTTTCTGAAGTTACTAGCTGGAAGAAGAAACAGGGGTGCCCATTAGTGGTAAGAGGCATTTTTCGGGGGTGATCTCTTATGAACCCGGTTCACCCTGAAGTCCAGTTGCTTCAGTCCTTAATTTCAACCAAACTGTCTGTGGGATCAATGTATCCTGTGGATCAATAAAATCACATTGTCTGGCGGTAAACTGGTTGAAAAAATTGATAATAATCAAGACATAAGTCAAGTTTATAGCGCTACAATTCACGAGTCCCTGAAAAACAATAACGCGGTTTTTCTCTAAACGCACTTATTCTAGATAACTTTGGTTAGACCTACGTTTCGCATCCTAGTGCGATCAACCCTAAAATTTGTTTTGCCATTTGGCAATTATTTTCTGCTACAACTGACACACTTGAGATAACTTTCCATTGTTGGTGAGTCATCAGTCCGGTTTGCGTACAAAGCATTTCTTCTGTTCTTTTGTCCATGTGAAAAGCGGCAAAGCAACGCAACAGAGTAAAAGCTTCATTTAGTGCAGAGAATATTCATCCATTCTATTTATTTTAGATGTCACACAGATGATTATCTCTCAAACGATCGGTGGGTTGTGCAACGGGTTTTTTGGTGGACAACCGTTAATTGTGTTACTCTCAACTGCACCGCTCGCTCTGTACATCAAAAGTGAGTTTGAACACGTTTGACGGGCTTCGTTTGTTTGCAAAACCTATCAGAATGTAAATCTGCATAGTGTGAAACCACCTCGCAAAAAGATGCTTGGTTTTGGTTTCGGAATCAACCGGCTAATTCCAAGTCAGACTTTCTGGTCGTTGTAATTCTTTCTCATTCTTTCACTATTTAAACAGTAATTGCGATTAGCTTCTCATTGGGTGAGATGGAATTAATTCATCGGGGAATTTTTATCTGGGTGGACTGTTTTACTTTTATTTTTGAAACTCTCAGCCCCACATCGAGCTATCTTGCAAGCTCTAATGGGACATTAGAATTCCTGCCTCTATTTTATTACAACATGAAGCAAGCGTTGACTTCAGCATGGTTTAGCGTGGTGGCTGTTCGAGTATGATACCGGTGTGGCCTTTCCAGTGTGACCTGGTGGCTTGCTGTAGGTAACAAAGCAGGATAACTCACGAACTTCAGTTTTTCATAGGCAAAATTTTTCCAACCAGCTTTACTAAATGCGACTTGGCCAAATCTGGTGGTTGAAAGTGATAGAGGAAACAGTCCGATTTAAAAAGGTGTTTGCGCTGTTCTCTTTCGTCCTATCCGCACGTAAAGGTGCGGGTGGGCTGCAATCGTTATTCGTGGGCAACTTAAAATAATTACATTCCTGCGATAAGTACCACTGCTCACCGTTTGCTTATGGCCAACCAAATACAATCAACGCTCGATCTTCATTGAATTACCGAATATTGACACGCTTAACACGTGATGAAGCCAACAGTGGACAGCGGTGTGCCCACTATCGCCGTAAATTCACGTCGGTCCAGCGGAATTAGACTTTATCATGAGAAAACTAAGAGATTGGAATAATGGAATTAACTGGCATCAAAAATTAGAGTGACCGTTTCAGAGAGTTGTGTGTAATGTCTGACCGGATAGCCTCTCAATCAGCCTGAGCTAAAAAGGGATAATTGCCATGACGGGAAATTTTTTTAGGTTTTCAAAGGATTTAGCAAATGTAGTGGTCAAGTTAAAAAAGTAACTTTGCCACGGAGCATCGGATAATAAAAGACTGATTTGTCACGGAATGAATTTTTGTTTAATAGATTAGGGAAGTAGGTTAAAACAATGTGAGTTGCGATTGAATAACACCCTTCAATACTATGCGTCTGTCGGGGCGAGATGGACCGATTGGTTAGAGTGCGAATTTACTCACCGGAAGGTTCGTGATTCGAACCCGACCTCTGCCTCTCGACTTCCCCTGTCTAGGCTTGGGCGACCTGGCAGTATCCCAGCCCTCGTGTCTCCTTCGTGTGGCACCGCAGCTAGGCACCGGAAGCGTGCTACAGTTGAATGATTTTTCATGCATCGGTCAGGTCATTTGCTCCGAGGACAGTTCGTCCAAACGTATTCGGTCAAGAAGTAAATCGCCCAATGGTTAAAGAATTGCTAAAAAGACCAGAACTTGAGAATCACTGCCTCAATCCTTTTCCTGTCAACCGGGTTGTGGGTGAATCAGAATTCCAAATACAGAACTAAGTTTGAGGCCAAAAAGTGTTTGTAGTTAAGCATTTACTAGCCTGAACAAAACAGGACAATATTTGCATACGAATCAATCGATGAGTGTCAGTCGGCACAACGATTTCTTACGACAGTGTTCACCGAAGGAGTAGCGAGACAGAACCTTATAGGATCACGGAAGGGCCCAAAAATTTAGCAACGACAAAATTGGGACTAACCAGATAGTCTGGAGCGAATTCGTGTCCCATTTGATTATAGAGAAACCCTGTGAATAACATATATTTTCGAACAGCTTCGCAGCGCCAAGTGCAGCAAACTTTCAAAAGTGATGTAACGTGTTTCGTTTACCTGGGGGTAGCTACCGCTTAATCATCATCAAATGATGCAACAGAATCTATCGGTTACTCGTCCACAGTCACACGAGTGCACTCATGCCATCTTTGGGTCAAAATAATTAGCTGAACAAGTGCGCTTACCGTGGGGCCATCAGTGTTGAATCACCAATCCTTATCGGACCACAGTATACGTTGAATATACTGTTCTTCCCGTGGATCAATCAATGAAACCTATCTAGTTGAAAGGATATTTGTCATTCTCTTCCTAAGTGACGGCTTGGACGTTACTTGATTTCTAGCTAACATTCACTTCCTTTAAAGGAACTGGGCAGATTCAACCCCGGAGACAGGATCTTCCTGTTGAAAACCAGAACCACGAATACAGATATAATGTTACTAGGGTGATCACAAAGATTCTGACCAAATGTGGGAAGTTCCGTACTTCCAAATAAACAATATTGTCTAAAAGCCAACTGCCAGTGGAGCGACTTTCAAAGTCAGTCCAAACAGTTTTACTATGTACTTTCTTTTAAAGATACTGAGGATGAAGTGCAATTATCCTAGTGAAACTTTTCAAGAGTGATTTTTTATTTAAGCATTCTGATTATTTAGTCATACAGAAGTAATGTTTCTTGCAAAATATACGTGAGTTTTCTACTAAGCCAATTTGACCCGGTGCTCTTTGCCTTCTATACCCCCAGAGTATATATCGACGTAGGTTACCAAAAATTGTAACTGTGGTGTAAATGTGACTTTCTGCTACTTAGACCTTTGCTGCTGCACACCTGTCAAAATGGATTTCAACGGCGTTACAGCTTTAAAATCCTTTGGTTTTATTCGGTGCCGCAGAATACAGCTGTTTATTTTTATCGGTGATCTCAAACAGGAAAACCAAAGGACACATTCCCGTGTAATGAGATAAACTGGCCATCTCTGTGCATCCCACTGTTGATTGAATAAACAAAAGATTTTACTGTCTACCTCTGTAGTAGCTAAATAGAAATGACTACCAGTATGAGCTTCAAAGCATCCAATTAATTAGAAAAATACCACAAATTATACATTAGGCACATACATAAGGTTTCAGAGATTAAAACCAGTCTAATACACACCCATTTACGAATTCTTAGTACGTGTTCCACGTAAAAGAGTGCATTTTCATATTAGTGTGCCACGGCGCATTCCGAACGCACTTTTACTTTCCATTCTTCAGTCGTCTACACGATCTGTGAATCATTTGGTCTCAACTTTCCCGCAATGTACGGATGTGTCGGTCTGTTCAACAGTTTATTCCTGTTTGGCTTTTCGGTAACTGGACTTAGCAGCCTGATGCGGTGGTCCACCAGGTGAGCTGTAGTTGTATGGTCTAATCGCAAGGTTGTTTGCACTTCGGAGTACCTTTATTACGCCCAAAATGTTAACTCAGAAGGATAGCATATTTATTTTGTCTTCTGAAGCTGACCCACGTGTAGAGGTCTGATTTTAGGCCTTTTTTAAAAAAAATTACCGTCTCTGAATTCTACCATCTTGTGGTAAAATAGTCGGTTGAATTTTCAGTTGTCTTCAAGCATCCATGTATTTTCAGTAAACAAATCTCCATCCAGTTTCACTTCGAACATTTTTAGCTGCTTACACTTAAGTTGAACATATCAGTCAGCTAGACACAAAATAATCACATACACACGATTCTCGAATTGTATTCTTTTCTGTGTCCAGGTTGAATTTAATAATTTCATGCTGTGCTTGCCTTATAGTGACCGTTAGAAACCTTCTAGACACCAGCGATGTAGGTTGTCCGGTTACTTTAAACTTTCATATGTCGCAGTATAAGCAGAAATGTACATCGCTCAGGATGTAGGTGTACGTCGATTTTCCACTCTTTTTTTGTCCACAGGCAGTGTGATAAACGCCTCATCAGCTTGGTTCACCAGGCATTCTAACTGCATTCATTCAAGCATTCCAGGTCGTTTTTGGAACTCTGATCAAGTTTACTTTATTACTAATCACTTTTCTCCTGCTTCTGGCGGATTTTCCCTTCATCGCGGTTATCTAGACTGTACAGTTGTTTATTCTGACTATCTTGACCTACCAAGCGACCTCCTCACGTGACACAACCCACCGAACCTTGGCGAGTTCCGCCCTGCCTTTGCTCGATACCATCGTAATGTTAAGTTGCGATCAAAGATCACATCCGAACACTCTAATTTTGGTCCTTTTCCAAGTGATCTCTGATGACTGTTTTTCACTTTAATCTGGGTTGTTTGGGTAAGATTGGATCGATCTAATGATAAAATAGCTCCTATTTGGTTGTCAGAATGTCAGGATTACTTGCACAACCAATTACAACTGTGACAATTTTGGCCATTCAAGAACTTGTATTTTTCTTCAGAGATGCTTACCTTGCGGCACTTGCAGTGTCCACTTTATCGACAAGTTAATTGCTCTTGACGCGGACCCTGCATATTTAAGATACTCTGTGGGACTAGTATAAGATAGTGCAACGCTTTCAACAAAAAATGCCCGGTCCCATCATTTTGTACAATGATTCTAGCGCTGGAGTTACAGCACCTTTTAAACACAGTTAATTAGCCAACTAACCTTGGTTTGCATCCTTGAACCAAAACCAAGCGTTTTTCACTACAAATGTAAAAGGCTTGTTTGATCACGTGCAAGAGTTGAGCCTTTTACGGAGCTCTTCTCACCGTGCAGCGACGGAAGCACTCAAATAACCCTCGCTATAAAAAATAGCCACGCTACTTTGGCATTTCAGTCAATGCATGTATTACAGAAAGCCGAGGGGTTCGTTCATAGTGGAACGGTCTTCTATGAAAGTTCAAAGTTTTTCAAGTACTGACCTATCTAACTTCTTGATTATTAAAGCATATTTCCGGCACTGGAGGGTCGGTCTAGCGTAAACATTTGGTCTATATTTTTTGGTTTACTGCTTGAGGTATAATACTACTTATTTCTGGTTTTCCATAGTCTAATCCATTAAAACAAGAGCACACAACATCATCACATATCCACAAACACTGGTGACGTGCATAGGCGAAAGTGGTCTTTTTTTCAATATCAATGTGAATTTTCATTCCTTATCTCACCCACCACCTATGTTTCGCTGAATCCTGATCGTTTTTTTCTCTCAAGAAACTCAACATTCATTTATTTTGCAGTGGATTTCAAGTGGATTTCAAAGAGTTGAAATTTGAATAGCGAATAACCGATTCTCATACGAAACCAAAAAAACGGAACGGAAAGATGGTGGCGTGGTAGACAGCAGGGTTACACGGGAGATGGAATTAGCTTCTCGTTTGCGTTTTTGCTCTGAGACATCACGAACGACAATGATTAAGCTATTGGATAGTTGCAAAGGAATAACTGATGTTCCAGGATTATGTAACACAGTTCGTCTGTCTGTAGTGCGTGAAAATTTGTTCAAATCACTAATAGTAACAAATTTGCCTTTATCCAGGATTGATTTGTTTTATAAATGACAGAAGCAATTTCACAGCATCCAAGCTATTCTGAAAGTGTTAATTTCAGTGTATCCTTGATAGCTTTCGTCACTCTTTGAAAAGAGTGACTTGTGTCACTTGGAGCCGATTACTTTATTTAAATTTTAATACATTTAATAAGTGGAAAACAATGTCAGTGATCTCAGTGACACCGGCAATTTTTCCTGAGAAGAAATCTGCCTTCGGTTTCATTGATCGTCAGACAGTAGAAACTTCTCTGCCAATCAGAAGCATCCATCTCTCATCAAGGTTCTGGGTACCACCGATGAGTTAAAGTTTGCGAATTCCCAGTGTTTCAAGATTTTAGGCAACATACCAAAGCACTTCACTTCTGGACGCCATATCGTGAAAATTAGTAATTCGAATCTTTATGTGCAGTCGACCATGAGCTATTATTTTGTTTCAACTCTGATAGCCGGGCGAAGGTAATTTCGACATAGTCTACAGCAAACATCCCCTAACGTGACTGTTTTCAGTTAGTGTAATTTAGGCACCATCAGTTAGAGAGTTGACTCGGTGGTTAGAGCGCGAATTTTCCGGCCGAAAGGTCCATGGTTCGAACCCGACCTCTGTATCTTGATTTCCCCTGTCTAGGCTTGGGCAACCTGACATATCCTGGCCCTCACGCCTCCTGCTTGTTGCATAGCAGTTAGGCACCGAAAGGATGCTACAGCTGAACGATTTTTTCACAGAGAGAGAACAAGTCCGCCTCTCTGTAGTACGAAACGTCATTCGAATCCCGTCTTTATGTCACATCCTTGCTGTTTATCCTCAATTGTCTGTGTCGCTTTGAGACGTTAAAATCTCGCAGCTAGAACACACCTCTTCAAATAAGATGTTCATGTCGATTCACACAACAGATCGCCTTGTGGGAAGAAAAGGGTTTGTACCATCAGATTGTAAATTTGACAGAGAGATTTGCTTCCACATTAATTGCCGGTCAAAAAATATGTACCACTGATCCTCCTGATCAGTTTGTGTTTGGAAAGGTGATGGCTGAATATTTTTAGGACTGAGCCATCGAATTAAGCTAAACTAAATGATGAAGATCAGAATAATCCTTTTCAGGAGCTGCTTTAAATGATGCTGATGACGATGATGATGTTCATGAGGATGATTATGATTATGATGATTGAAAATACGGAGTAGAATTAGGTTCGCCAAGAAATAAAAGATTCATCCAAATGTATTCCACCAAGTTTTTGCGAATGTCGAATACAAAACAAAGTCACGACTCTAGTTTGACCACGACTTTCCACAGAGTATTTCATGTATCCTACTGAAACCTAATTATTCCTTCCTTCATCAACTGTCAACTAACAAAGACAATTACAGTGCAACTTGTACCCCCACGATCTTCTTTGCCTCTTCACCGGTTCTGTCCCTTGAATGTTACCTCTTGCAAATCACCAGGTTCGTAGTGGATCTCACGGGAAAACACCATACATTTTAAGCTAATCGAGATTTCAATTCAACTGGAATATTTTGGTCTTGTCAATTATTTATGGAACATGGTGTTCGTGTCCATTTATGGGTACAAACTGGATTTTATTTTGGCATTAGTTAGCCTGTTTATGACAGTTCATCAGCTGCCTTTACCATTCATTCCTGGACGATGATTGTGCCAGTAGCTGGTTTTCCTCGATTGGTCAGCAGATAGCGCTCCCATTTTCTGTATACTGTTTGTACAGTCTTTCTTTCATGGGCTCAGGAACACGCTTCACTGCCCCAAATATTTTGGAATGCAAACATTCAGTGTATCGGATTCGAGTTAAATGATGCCCGGCTTCACAGTACTGGTGAAGGGACACTGCTTCAAGGTATGCACAATGCCGAAGCACTTATCTCAGTTAGGTGGACGAGTATTTTATGTCACGTCGTCTGTCCTCATTTGCCATACAACGTAAGACTCACTAACTGTCTTTTACGTTCAATATTGAGCACAAGAAAAATTTTGTCTTCAAGCTTCTTGACAAAGTACACTTCAAATCGACTTTCGACTGAGGCGGACGGAGACTGTAGTTTCGTGAATATGGACGAGATATTCACGAACTAAGCACTTTCTAATCGGCCAAGCGATGAGAAAGCTTGTCTGGTTTGGGATTCGCCTTTCTTGAGCAGAATGGTGAATGTTGAGCTGTACTTGAAAAACGAAGTCTAGGCTGGTCTTTTCCGACCTGCGACATTTGTGAAGTCCAGCCATTGCAGGTTGAATGTCAAGACTTGAGCCTGAAACATTGTGGCACAAAGCAGATGTCACAATCTCTAAGTGATTGAAACAGTATGTTGTCGAGTCATCTCACAAAAACAGTAATAGAAAGTGGATTTTTTTAGGGGTTTGTGCTCACGTTCAACAGAGGGGCTGATGGACTCTGTAGATCCCACTGCCCGGATCAAGCGCTTTGAATTCTAGCAGACCAACTTCCCCGAAGAGCCATTTTCACCCCTTGCGTGCGCTGGGTGAGAAGGTCCTAAGAGAATCCATGTACTGGACCTGGTATACTTTTTACTCGTGTGTCAACTTTTGGCAACCTTGGCAGACAACGCTCAGTCACACAATGGCTTTTACGGATTCAATCTGTTTACTCCTCGATTTACCACATTTATGAAGGAAAGTTCCATGAAAGCAGGTTGCCACTGATGTCTATCCTGANCCTGAGAATAGTAAATATTTCCCTACATGTGTCGGCAAATCTACATTTTTTGAAAGTAGTTAAAGCCGATATATAATTTCAAAGATTCAAAGCCAATGAAGAAAGTGAAAGGTAAAGGCCTTGTAGAAACCTCACCAGAATCACCACCCCAAACTACTCTATTTTTTCTCTAAATTG